GAGAAGGCTGAAACTCACATGCTGATAAAATTTTGGGATTATCTATAGCCTTTATTTACCCAGGTTATCCTATTCTTGATCAAATGAACAAGGATATAACTGTGGGCTGTCTGTTCTGACTTAATGACTTATAAACTCATTCTAAAAAAACCTGAAGCACCTGTGCCTGAAATTGCCCTGCCTTTTTCCCTGTGTAAGTCCCGCTGAACGTCCCTCTACCCGAGGCTGTAACTTCCCCTCCTCTGACTTTCCCCAGCATTTCATCTGCACATCCCTTTTTTGCTCTCCCTGCTTTATAGTCATCTGTGCTCTGTGCTCATCTCTTACTGTGAGTCCTGGAAGGCACACACTCCTGCTTTAGCTCTGCATCCCCGAAGTTCTTACCGCTGGGCCTTCTACTGGGTGGAGCTCAGTGAAAGTTGACTTAGTGAATGGACAGATGGACGGAAGAATGGATGGATGGATGAACAGATAAATGGCAGCATAGACGGATGGATGACAGATGGAAGGAGGGAAAAGAGAAGGGACACTCTTCCTTTGTGCATGCTACCACAACCTGCTCTCTTTCTGTATTTCTTTGGAAAAGCAACTCACATCCATTCTCATTACCACACACATTTGATTCCTAAGCACGTTCTCAGCTGGGCAGGTTTTGCAATTTCTCTACTGCCACCACGAAATGAAAAGCACGCCGGCACACTGTAGCAAGGGAGAGCCATAAAGGCCCAAAACTTGAAGGGCTAGATTCCCAACCAAACCACAACCCACATATCACCATTCTCGCTTCATATTTAAGAAATAAAATTTTCTGTTTGGAAAATTCCCCAGGCCTTCCTTCTCTCACCTGCTTAATATGCCTTCCAAGTTCACATTTTAAGTCTTAAAAAGGAGATTCAGAAAACAACGAATGAGAAAATAAAGTCTACACTAAGAAAAATAAAATAGGTTAGTTGACAGCAAAAGGAATATCTGCCAATAACACCACCATTTGTCTTAGTTACTGCATTTAACTTTCTCTCTTTCCTGGCATTAACAGAAATAAAGCCACACGTCTCCAGCCTCATGCAGCTAATGCACAGTTAGCACCCCAGGCAACAGGAGCCAGAGTTCA